TGCTGTTCTTGTCCTCAAATGTAATGGTGGCTGTTTGCCACATTTGTTGTGTGCTCATTGAGATACTTGTGATCTGTCCGTATTTGGCAAAAGTTTGTTGCACTTCTATGGATCTTGCATTCAGGGGGATGTCCCATACTCTGATACTATTTTCCCTTTTTTGGATAGGGTCGTGCGTGGGGATAAAATCCAGGTGTGTGTTTTCCAAATTGGGTAGGTCTATGGTGCATGCTTGTGCTGCCACATGGTAGTCTCCGAATGTGGCAGTGATCAGCTCTTTGTCTTTCCTTCCTTCGCTGCGGATGTTAATGAGTCCTTCGGGGCAGCCTAGTGCTTTGGTGAGATATTGGATTTTCTTTCCAGTTGTGTCTCCAGGAAGAACTTTTGCTTCGATTCCTACTTTGCTTCGTTGGCGTCCATATCTAATACTTCTGTCGAATGGGGATCGGGGTCTCGGCTTGCTCCATTGGTGCATTGGTTGTTTTCCTTTGTCTTGTGTATTCCATGTTGTGTTTTGGTGGTCCGTCTCCATATCTTCATCGGAGTCATCTATTCTTGCCCATCTGTGAGGGTTGTCTGTTTCCTGGGAGGTGCTTGCCTGTCTAGTGGGAGGTTCTGTGGTTGTTCCTGCATGGGGGTTGGAGTTCTCTTGTTCATAGATGTCACTCCAGAGTTCGTGTGTTTCGGGTTCTTGTGTGATGTTCTTGGGCTTTTCTGTGGCCTTATTCTGGTTCTCATTGTCTGGTTGTTCTTTTCCGTAGGTGGTTTGGTTTGTGGTTGTTTTTAGAATCGTTTGGGTTTGGTCCTGTTCTGTCACTTTCGTTTTGTCGTTTTTCGCTTCGGTTTGGGATTGTTTCTTTGCTGGTTTTTGTGCTGGATATGGTGTTGTTTCTCTGCTTTTCCGGCTGGCCGTACCTTTGGTGAGCTCGTTCAGATTGTAGTTGGGCCTAGTTGAGGTCAGGGTGCCTCTGAGAGTTCTGTTTGAACTCATATCTCTTTCTTTTCGCTGTGTTTCCTAATATGGTAATTGTTTGCGAGTGGGAAAGAGTTTGGAATTAAATTTTGATAATTTATAAATATTATTATTAAAGAAAATAATTATAAAATTAATGAAATTGTTAAAATTGATAATATTATTATTAATATTAAAGAAATTAATGATAAAAAACTATTTGATAACATTAGTTTAAATAAAAATAATCTTGATATTAAATTAATAACAGTTATTAATAATTTTGATTTATTGATAAATAAAGATTTATTGTTATCAAATTTTAAAATTTTTTATTAATTTTCAGAAAATACAAATCATTAAATTATATACTTTGTTATAAGCAAATTTCAAGTTTGTTACTAATTGTTACTAATGTTTTTAAAATAACAAATAGGTAATTTGAGATGCATGATTTGATCAAGTTTTTCTTACTTTCTGTATTACTTGTACTTTATAAATAATATTGTCTTAATTATACATTTTTTTATAATTTCATAAAATAAAGTGACTATACTAAATATAAAATAATATACTTTTAAAAACTTTCACCTGTTTACTGTTGATTTTTTGAAAATTTCCTTTTAGGAAATCTTCTTTCAAGAAGTGTTTTCCTTTCCTTATTTTTTAAAGCAAATAAGCTTTAAATCCAAAGGATATAAAGACTTTAAGAAACACTGTTCATCAGGATAGGGTCTCTGGTCAAGACCTAAGCAAGTTGGAAATCTTCTTTAGCTCTTGGTTGCATGGGAAAAGATCCATGGCAACCTTTTTTCATAATTTTTTATTTTTAGATACCTCCTTTCTATATGATTATAATAATTGCACTTCTCTTTACTCTTCTTTTCTCTATAATACAAACTCAATCCTAACAACACATTCAAATAAAGTTACTGGATCTAATATTTATCTTAATACAAATTTTATAAATTTATTATTTTTCTTTCTATCTCAAAATCAATATTTCATCTTATTTTTTTTTTTTCAATATTCTTTTCAAATTTACTTAAAAACCATAATCAATTTTACTCTATCAAAAATCTACATCCAATAGACAACCAATAAAATTTCCCCACTCCTTAATAACAAAACCAAAACTGTTTAAACCTGTTTATAGTCAGTTTTCTTAACAAAAATTATCACACTCAACAATAACAACAGCAACAACAACAATAACAACAACAAAGAAATAATCTGATAACTTACTGGATTGAGAGAGCATATGACCTGTGCCCTGCACAAGTTCTGATAATCTTTACTCTATATGCATCTAAACAACAAAACAAGCAATTGGAGCAGACTCCAGTTACCCGACTTACTTATATCTCAATTACAATACTCTTTTACTAACCATATGACTATTTATTATCTCAATAATAGAATTGTGATCCATAAGTAGCAATGCTACTATTAAAGAAAAAAGGCAGCCAAAGCCTAACCAATGTGAGTAAAAGCAATACTTTTATTGTAAGTAGAAGTGAAATACTAGTGAGTTCCGTCCCATAATCTGGCAGCTTAAACCAGTGAACTTTTATTGCTACTGGAGTCGTGCCCAGCTATCGAAAAAAAAGTGGTAATCTAGGTAGACACATTTGGTTTGTGCCCTGCAGAAGGAATTGTTGATTCAAAGATAATATGCTCATAAATCCTAAACATATCACCACTATAACATTTTACTCTTCATAAAATATTAACTATATGTCTTACTTATATTTAAGTAGCATATAGTCCATCTCATACGCTATCAATATTTTCTTTCTTAAATCAGACTTCTATTATTCTTTTTTACAATTGGTGATCTTGTCTGAAATGTTTTTTTTATTTTTTATTTTTTCATAGCAGATGGTTTCTCAGGTTTTTCTTTCAAGTTTTTTTCAATAATATATCTGCTCTTGGTAGCAGGTCAATATGTATTGTCATATATTTCATACTTTATTGATTTTGTATATAATGTATTACATTTATTACATATAATTAATAAAGACTTGAGAAAGACCTCACTTGGCATTTAAAAAAAAATAATATACTTTTAGCTAGATTTTATAATAATTATAGAACAATTTCTATATTGTTATTGTTATTTCTCAGAGTTATTATATTGACTGGTCATGACAGAATCAAATTTCATGCTATTCAGTATAGATTGGTCATGTGATGGCACAGTATCATTGTTTATTATGTGGCATGTATAATATCTAATATATTATATTCACATTTTATCTTCATTGTGTTAAATATACAGTATGTCTATGATTACATTATCATAATACCTATTATAAATATAATCTTTTAAAATCATTATTTTGCCTGTTACGACTCTTAATAAAATAAAAGAAATTCATATCTCATTAATTTTATTGAAAATAAAAAAAAATAAAATGTTATTATTTATTATTTTAATAAATTATTTTTTAAGTAAAATTGATTTATTTGATAAAAAAATTTTTTTAAAAATATAATAATTTTTTATTAAAATTTTTTTATTTGATAAAGCTTATTCTATTTATAAACTTTTATTAGGTAAAATTTAAGTTAATTTATATTAGAGCAATATTGGTTCCTCAATATTTAATTAAAAATTCTTGCAATTCGGTGTAGATCCCGTAACTCATATATGGTGGAAAATTTCACTCGAAAGTACACCTACACAGGCGCTGCACGAGTGACGCATGGGGAGAATTTTTCTGCACCACAAAATAGCAACTTAAACTCTGCTGATGGCCACAAAGTAAAGCAAATAATATCATGTTATAATAGGCCTCAAGAGAGAGATGTATATTTTTGATCTATATTTTAACGAATATTTCATTTATTAATTACAGACGAGCCGTCGCTAAAATTTGGTCATATGATTTTGATCATTACTATTCTCTTAATAAAGGGCAAGTACAGTATTTATAGATTCAAATGCCAAAAGCCGACAGGCGTGGATTTTATTGCCTTGATCTTTCCTCTTAGCCTCTGCCCCTACACTTCTATTTAATCGTAATAATCAATAATGCATCGACATAATATTATTAATAAAGTTCCCCAAATTTAGGTAAACGAGCAATTGAAATTGAACTTTTGGCACATATATCCAATATTGACTTCATTATTTGTACGATTTGACTGTCTGATCAAAAATCCGTAAAGTAAATTTTATGAGGTTATTTTTTTATATCATAAATAATAAAAAAAAATACACCCTGCAGAAACAGAAAAAATTGGTCATAAAAAACTTGACACATGATAATATTTATTTATTAAACCATAAAGGTATGAAGAGTGTATTATAAAACCAATAGTAAACCAGACTGTGACGCGTGTTTGATCACACGTGATTCCTGTAATAAATAAATACAGTATAATGACTCGACACAATTCAAAATCTTCATCAAAAATGACTCATAGGAAAACGCGTCGAGATGAGCAAAGAAGTTATTTGCTGAATCACTTAGATCCTCGTCCGTTGAACTTTTTTTTGAGGTTCAAATATCGTAGTAGTTCAAAGGCTCATCACGAGTACGGGCTACGGCTAAACCAGGCTTTGCAAGAAGCGCCAGATTCTAAGAAGTTATTAAGTCTGAGAAGAAAATGGGATAATGACGAATATAGGGAGGATTGGGCATGTTATGAAGATTTGATAGAAGATAGAAAAACCAATGTACGTAGTTTTTTTTTTTTACTTGAGCTGATTAAACAGTTATAAAAGCAAAATTCTTTGAATATTAGCGGAAAGTAAAAAAACGAAAACGCGAAGCCCATATTTCTTTTCATAAGCAATTAGACGACGAACTAGATAGAAAATCGGTAAGTTATTTGTTATTTTTTTATTCTATGAAATAATGCTAATAATAATATTTTCATTGGTTCAGAGACAGACTGGGAACACAACCAGCGACAATGATCGTAAACTCGTTAATAATGATGATACTTCTCAAACTGAAAGCACCTCTAGTGATAATGATTACGATGACGATAACGAAGGGAATAATCTTGACGATGATTCTAATATTTCTTTGGCAGCTCAAACACAAACTGAAAATACAACCATCAATAACTATGATGATAACAAACAGTTTGTGTCTTTGGTAGCACCGCGGATTGAAATCGTATTAGGAAAAGACACTATAGGAAACGAAGAGAAGTACTGTAATTATTTATGCTAAAGATTACGAAGAAAGAATACTCACTGTCGTTTGAATAGGATAAACGATGCACTGGAAATGAGTGCCAAAGAGACCATTCGAAATGATGGGAATAAATGGATTTTATGTGGCATTGATTTACAGGAAGAACTAACAAGATGGAAACAAGTAAAGGTTCGACCGCGCACTGAGTAAGCATTTTTTTTTAATTACGTGTGTTCAGTATATGGCAAATTTGAACAGATCTAATGTTATGTACTGATGTTGAAATTTTTAGTCTAGCATTCTATGACATCGTAGATATCACGCCAGATTCGAATAGTGATTTTATACGATCACTACCTGACAATGCAGTGCATAAGATAAAACAGTTAATACCGTCACCAACACCTAATACGAACAACGAAATGAAAGATTACATTATTGAATTTATCAAGGTATCAATAGTTTTATGATTTTTAATGTAATTATTTTGCTGCTTTGCTCTAAATTTTCTTAACATCTCACGATGTAGACAAAGGAGTTCCGCAAATTTGTGGACGGAAGCTACTTGAAAATGCGAGTTAATAATAATACAAAATTTATATGGGATTACTTGAATATTATGTAATAATTAAAAGCTATTTTAATAAATATGCTTCCTATACCTTATTTGATCTTATATTCAAGTTTTCTTTTTTTTTCTCAGTGTTGAATCAATCGAAAGGGATAACGATTTAACGAATTACAATCTGTCCGAATTTGAGTATAGGAAAATATTCTTTACTCCTCTAATTCGAAGTCTCTTCCGAGGCACGCACCAGGAAATGAATATTTGTTTGTAGGTATATGAATAACATGTTATAAAATTTTTGATATCATTTTTTAAACAAAATTGTATTGTACTTTTACATAGTGGCGAAAAATGTTTATTCGCTTCATTAGAAGATCGTAATCGGGGAAAGGATGATGAGGAAGGCCGTAATGCAGGTCATAAAATAGACATCATTTGGTCTATGAAGCCAATTGACCTTGAGTTCTCTGTTGGGGAAATCAGTGGGCCACCGAACAAGCTTTATCATTCACACTTTTTTAATGACAAACTTAAAATTGCCAAGAATTTAAAGGTTATCATTAATAGGATTGTGAAAAAGTATGGTGGTGCAAACATGAACTTGAGTTTATTAAAATTGTACGGTCTACACGTTCATTGTAAGTATGCCAACTTAAAATTTGTTAATGTTTTACAAAATTAACATTCTATTACTTTTCATAGATAATGAAATAATTGTATATGAAATGTCAATACCATTTCGTGGACTGTATGTTTTTTGTGAGGTTTTACGATCAAAATTACCTACGAACGCTGTTGAAGTGGGGTTAATAAAACCTTCTGTACCAACATTTATCAAGTTTAAGGTTTGTTTTCGTTCTGATCTAATTATATTACATTAGTTTCATACACTTATTTACGAAATTTTATTGTTGTACTGCCGTATCATTAGGAATTGCTCGAAAAAAGTTTGACTGATCTGAAAATTTATATTCAGGATGCGTGTACCCGTACACCCGATAATAATGAAAATGCACGTCTGTTCGTTACACAAACTGATTTGACGCCCGAAAAAAAGAAAGCCCAACCAGTAGACGCGAAAAAGAGAAAGTGGTCTTGACATTCAGTCAAAATGTTTTTAATAAATCATTTAACAAGAAGGTTTTTATAATATTTAATAAGTAATTTAAATGTGTAATAACATTTCAAATTGTAATTGATCATGTAAACGTTTTGGTATCTTGTTCATTGCGTTATAAATAACCATTGAACTATTAGCATGCATCAAAATAATGATAAAGATTGTGAAAATGGACATCTATTCGCTCCTTTTAATTATACATTTAAATAAAAAATCAGATGTATACAAACTACCACTAAATCATGCAATCTGAGCTTGAAGCCGAAAAGGTTGAGCTTGAAACCAAAAATGCCGAGCTTTAAAACAGATACAGAAGAGAGCGCCAAGATTAGAACAGATTACAGAAGAAAATACTGGGCTTAAGATAGAATTACGAACTTGCATCAGAAACAGACGTAGGCTATTACTAATAATTAGGGCCCATCTATAAAAGATATTTCACCACTTATCGAGAGCCATTATGATGCATATTCCTAATCCATTGTCTAAAATAGAACATAGCTCAACTCAATCTGAATCTTCAACGGAGTCTGAAACATCAACAGCCTCTTTACCACAATACATTGTAGGTAACGATTCCGCCGAGATCCTAGATTTTATAAAAGCGATACATAAGGAGTGGATTGGTAATGAGGTAAAAGAGAGAAAGCTGGAAAAAAAAACTTCAAGAATCACATAATAACTTAACTCCGCCGATGCAATCATGTTGACACCAGAATCTCTGGACTCGAAAACTGAAAAAAGTTTTGAGATTAGAATCAAAGTAAAGGTGATATTCAGGATACTGTATTACGTATTTCGGATTCAATCATGTGACTGAAATTTAAAATTCTGATACAGTACAATTATTGTGCTACAAAAGCTAACCAGGGAGAAAGCTTATGCTAGATTAACTATAGAAAAGAATCCGTAATTGAATATAATAATCTTATAAAAACAGAATCGGTAGCATTGGCGAGAAAAAGGCAAAAGGATTACAGCTCCAGAAATATCGTGTAAGGACGTATAAATTATTCGAAAAAATAGACATTTATAAAATCAAGTATCTTAAAGCATAAAGTGCAAATTCTATTTCAAAATTGACAAACGATCAAATCCAAAAGATTCGAAAAGTGGATAGGTTTACGAAACGTAAGGTGAATGAGCGGATTCGCGAAACAGGAGGTGGAGCGAATAGGTCTGTGAAATATGAGGCAGAGTGAATGGATGGAGTCAAAAAGAGGAAAAAATTGCAATATTAATCCGATATCAAAGATTTTGTCTGTTGAATGTATATAATTAACATTAAAGTTAAAGTATAACTAGCCAAGCCGAAAACACGCCTCAATAGTTAATGGATAGACTTACTTTCCTAACTATTGACTTTACAGTTTCTCATGTATCTAAATTACAGTAATTCAAAAAATGTTAGCCTTTAGGATTAACATATAGCATATGTAACTTGCTTGATCTATATACTGTATATATGTTTATTTATTTTACATATAGAAGTAATCATGAGACCATTGAATATTAGGGGAGCTTCGTATGAATAAAGTTAGAACCAGATATGACCTTCAGAAAAAACACTCATGAAATCTTCAAAGAAATAATTTTGGCTTCGATAACAATTACAGTTAGTAAACACATTTCATCAATAATTATTAAGTAAATAAAGGTATATACAGTATGTTAGCGCAATCCACATAATTTTGTAAGACTTCCCGCGGAAAGATAAACTAAAAGTTGTACAAATATTCACTCAAGCTGTTAACTAAACCATGGAAGAAAGTACTCTTCCTCCACACCCTTCGACGGCGATTGTGACAAGTTACTTTATATCCAATGGTTCGTCCTTAAAAATCAGTCGCCAATTCCATAATACAATTGCTAGGCGATTCTGTATAAGAGAAACTCCCGCGGTATTGCAATACAAGTATTATTTAAATCACATTTATTTAGAAAAATATAATTGATAGTTGCTTCGCATATATCCTCAAAACTTTCTTGTACTTAGCCATGACTAAAAGGCAATTTCAACAATACTGTAATAGGCTGGTGTGACAAGTTTGATAGAAAAAGCTGGTATCTAGAACCAGCCAGATCAAAATTAGAGTCTAATCACCATAAAAATCACTTTCCTCGATCGTATATTCATAACTCATAGGGTCAACACCGTTGTACTGTATCATGTATGTTTATATTTAATAAAATACTGTAGTAAATATATAATAAATGTAATAAAAGCCCACAAAAATAATAAAAATCAAATAAGTAATATTGATGATATCAAAAATATAATATCGATAAGATTAACAAATTGCTTTAGATGTCTTTAGACAATGATTCCAGGTTCTAAACCTTTTAATTTTTAAATTTAGATATAATTCTAAAGTATATGGAATGTAAGCTCGGACGCTTTTCTGGATTAGCATCCCAACATTCTTTTACAATATTAGCATATTCCGATGGAGTTCCATCAACAAATTTTGGTCGCTCTCCATTAATAACAGAGTGAGCGAGATCCGCATCGTATTTCCGATCGTTAAAAGGCGGTTCACCAGATGAAATCTCCCACATAATCATTCCAAAACTATAAATATCAGACTTTAAGGTGCATTCTTTTTTCTCTAATAATTCTGGGGCAGTAAATGGAAGGTTCTCATAAAAGTCAACCGAGAAATTATCTACTATTCCATAAAGCCCCATATCAGCAATAAAGAATTGATCGGTTGTCTTATCACATAACAAGTTTCCTGGGTGCAAGTTTCCATGAATGAAACCAGGTCTTGTATTTATACTGGTTGTGGATGATGTATGAATTCCATCGATTTTGGACAGAATTCGAAAGGCGAGATAAAATTTTTTATTCCACGAGAGCCTTGAATGATTAATTGATAAATATTCCCGTAAATTATAATCATATTTCTTTAATAAAATCATGTATTCCTGCGTCGTAGGATTTTTTGTTATTCCATAGAATGAAGCTGTAAACAAGACAAGCCTGTGAAGTTTAAATTTAGTAATAACCTAAAGGATAATTTAATATGTGAATTTCATAGTAGATTAATTCATGTATTAAGGTCATTTAACACATACTTTAAACCAATCCTCATCCATTTTATCTGAATTCTTGACTTTCTTAAGGATAATAGTTGTTGCACCTAATCGTTCAACCGCATTAGTTTCTGGATTATATTTGTTAAATGGTCCTTTATTCCAGACTGCCGAGTAAATAATGGAACGAGAACTTTCGGTCTTATGTTCAACTTTCTCCAGATCATTAAAAGGTACCCATTCGGTCACCACGTCTGGACACGTTGCATTTAACTGAGCATCTTGAATAACCTTGTCGATTTCGCCATTGCCTGAAGTCCAATTTCCAAAATTTTTCTTAAAAAAATCACGAATACAGTTCTCACAATATTGAGAGGCATAAGCCCAACCCTGACACCTTTCGCATAATTTGGGACTCTTATCTTGATGTTCGACATGCCATTTGTCTGCGAAAGAGTCGAACCGACTCATTAATTCTTTTTTTTCAGGCTCATTGAGTAAATGAAATTTTTCAAGGAATAAATTTCGTAGATTGCCCAAAATTGATTCAACCGATATGTTAGTAGCATAGTCGATATTCTGCCATCCATTTCTCCAGATATCATTTAACTTTTCGTTATCCACTTCGCTCATATTTTTGTAAGAGGAATTAAAATCTGAAATGATTGTAAAGGATGCGAGTAAAGCGTATCATGAATTAAATAAGGCACAGGTATTTGTCAAACGTGTTTGTGGAAGTACAAACACAGTAGGATAAACAAAAAAATAAGTAACCTTCAATGATTAAATAAAGGAACTTACGCATGTTATGAGTGTAAAAATTGGATGAATTAAAAATGTATTTGTTGATCTTGGTGTCAAAACCAAGATTATTTTGAGCTCAAAGTTTCACAAATCTAGATTTAATTACCATCTAAGTAGTACAGTATAGTTGATCTTAATAAATACAAGATTGTGAATCTATCAACTTTTTTGTGTCTTCGAAATAAAAGTAAAATAACAATAATGTAGCAAATAATGTACGTATATGCAACTACTGTATTGTGTTTTGGGAATTCTATAATTGACTATATTTAATGACACAAGATAGTCTATACATTACTATTTCGATAATTGAAATCAAAGTCTAATCTAGCTATCAAACATCAATAAAATAAAATAAAAAACAAAAAAATTTTTTGCTTTTAATGTTTGATTTTTTTCTTTAAAAAAAATATAAACGATCGAAGATTATACGCATCATAACTTATATTCTAAAAAATCGTTATAAGGGAATTAACCACGGCACAAAAAGCAAACAAGAAAAAATTGTTTCTACCGTATTTTGTATATTTGGATACTTTGGATATTTTTGACATTTTAAATATTTTGTATAATTAATGATTAAATCAAAAGTTCTACTTCCTTTTACACGATAGCACACAAGTGACCCCTAAGTTTATGCACCAGAAAAAGTAGTCCCACAGCTAACGTCGCTATAACTAAGTTACAGACTTTAAGGAAGACACCGTTGTTACTTTCGCCTCGAGTAGTTACACTTGTAATCTTGAGACGCGCCTAGAGAGACGGTCAAGAAGAAATTAGTAAGTGCAAGGAAACCGGTCAAATTGTAACCCGCCTCAGAGTTAAAGCCTTACCATATTTATCGCCGTAATCCAAGGGTTTTGGATTATCGTCACGCAAAGAATGTGCCGTCTTAGAGACAGACTCGCCGGTGACGACAACAATAGTATCGGTTCTAAAATTATCCCAATCAAATTCACCTTCGTTTTAAAATAAAATTTATGCCCTGCTCTGAATGCATAAAGATAATTATTCATACATTAAATAAACTAAGATTCAAACGTTTAAGAGACTAATTAAAAATTTGATCTAAAATATGCATATTGTTGGATTATTTGGCAACGTATAACTCTTAACTGCAGTACTACAGACGATCTATCAAAATAGATAATTATATTTGAAGGCAGAAAATATGATTTTAATTCTTATTTAAATAATACCCTGCCAATATCTGACGATAGAGACCGGTATGACACACTCTAAGGATTAATTACTGTTTGATATTTAGATTGCGTATTTTGCTGTCTATAATATATAAACACAGTCAATTTAATGTTCTATACAAATAAGAAAAAGAAATAATAAATATTATTTACCGTAGCAACACGATTTGGTATAAGGAATAAATTCACTTGCATAAATTGTTTCTGTGTGTGTTTGTACATACGAATTTTCCTTATTTTCTAATATTTTATCAAACTTGGTTAATTCAGCTAAAAATTTTGGATCATCTTGCCATTCTATAAAAGTTCTGCCAATTTCTACGGCAAGTGGACGATTCTTTGGATTTTCATTCCAACATCTTTTCATAATATCTATATAACTTGGCGGTGTACCCTCAATAATAGTTGGTCGAAATCCATTGCAAATTTGAATTTTAAATTGATCTTGAGATTCATGATTAAAAGGAACAACTTTTCCAGAAGATACTTCCCACATAATTATACCAAATGAATACATATCTGATGCTAAGGTATATTGTGAGCCACAAAGAACTTCAGGCGCAATGTATGGCAAAATCCCAAAAACACCTTCAGAATTTGTATCAGTCGATATTGAAAGACCTAAATCAGCAATATAAGCACTATATAAATTTTCTAGTAGTATATTACCACTATGTAAATCTCGGTGAATAATATTTTGTGAATGAATTATTTCAAGATCAGAAGCAATACTAATTAGTAATTTTAACTTATCGTTCCACGAATTTTGTGCCACTAAATGAAGGTTACTGCGCAAAGAACCCTTTACTGCACATTTAGTAACAAGAATAAAGTCTTTAGAGATTTCGTCTCTAGATATTCCAAAACATTTTAAAAATGTTTCGTTTTTATATCCAATATCGCAATATGCTTTTAACTTTAACGCAAAAAAAAGGTTAGGGAAAGATTAAAATAGTATAACGTCTAATATTTGAAATAAAATTACCTCTTTTATAAACTCCTTATGACTATCTCTTGATCCGTGAAGTAATTTAAGCGCAACACCTCTAGTACCCCAACGGGCATAAAACACTGTTGCAAATCCTCCCTGCCCTATTTTCTTAATGTTTTCAAATTCACTGCAAGGAATCCAAAGTAACGAATGCTTACTTTCAGAAAGTATTTTTTTAAGTTCACCGTCAATATCAGAGTTTTTAAGCATTGATTCATTCGAAACTAAATAGATAAACTATTTGATTATGGATAAATAAAGATAAATAATAGCATAGTAATGTCGCTATATTTACTCAATAATCGATTTCTTTCCCTAATTGTTAGCAAATCATTGTTAGCTTATGGTATCTATATTAATACATAGATTAAAAATTTTGCTTACATCTGATACCAATGCGTAGCCATTTGTAAGTTTCTCACAACTCCCATTCCATTTCTATAGAATCCAGCAACCGCATACATTCCACTTTCATCACCCATCTCAGCTGATTTTTGATAATATTCGAATGCCTTATGTTCATCCTTTTCAACTACAATTCCTTTTCTATAATAATAGCCAACATTATAAGTTCCCGATGCATTACCCATCTCAGATGATTTTTGATAATATTCGAATGCCTTGTGTTCATCCTTCTCAACTCCAATTCCATAAAAATAACAGTGACCAACATTATATGTTCCCGATGCATTACCCATCTCTGCTGATTTTTGATAATATTCGAATGCCTTGTGTTCATCCTTTTCAACTCCAATTCCTTCTTTATAACAGTTACCAACACTATTTGTTCCTAACACATTACCCATCTCAGTTGATTTTTGATAATATTCGAATGCCTTGTGTTCATCTTTTTCAACTCCAATTCCATTTACATAACAATAGCCAACTTGAAATGCTCCATCAGAATCCCCCATATCGGCTGATTTTTGATAATATTCGAATGCCTTATGTTCATTCTTTTCAACCCCAACTTTATTGTGATAACAATAGCCAACATTATACGTACCGGATGCATAACCCATCTCGGCTGATTTTTGATAATATTCGAATGCCTTATGTTCATCTTTTTCAACTCCAATTCCTTTTACATAGCAGTAGCCAACGTGACATATGCCGTCAGAATCCCCCATCTCGGCTGATTTTTGAGCATATTCGAATGCCTTGTGTTTATCCTTTTCAACTCCTATTCCATTTCGATAACAGTAGCCAACATTATTTGTTCCTAACGCATCACCCATCTCGGCTGATTTTTGATAATATTTGAATGCCTTGTGTTTATCCTTTTCAACTCCTATTCCATTTTGATAACAGTAGCCAACATTATTTGTTCCTTTTGCATGACCTATCTCAGCTGATTTTTGATAATATTCGAATGCCTTGTGTTCATCCTTTTCAACTCCTATTCCCTCATAATAACAATAGCCAACACTACATGTTCCTTTTGCATGACCCATCTCGGCTGATTTTTGATAATATTCGAATGCCTTGTGTTCATCCTTTTCAACTCCTATTCCATTCCGATAACAATAGCCAACGTGACATACGCCGTCAGAATCCCCCATCTCGGCTGATTTTTGATAATATTCGTTTGCCTTGTGTTCATCTTTTTCAACTCCTATTCCCTCATAATAACAATAGCCAACACTACATGTTCCTTTTGCATGACTCATCTCGGCTGATTTTTGATAATATTCGAATGCCTTGTGTTCATCCTTTTCGACTCCTATTCCATTTCGATAACAATATCCAACGTGACATAAGCCGTCAGAATCCCCCATATCGGCTGATTTTTTATAATATTCGAATGCCTTGTGTTCATCTTCTTCAACTCCTATTCCCTCATAATAACAATAGCCAACACTACATGTTCCTTTTGCATGACCCATCTCGGCTGATTTTTGATAATATTCGAATGCCTTGTGTTCATCCTTTTCAACTCCTATTCCCTCATTATAACAGTAGCCAACACTACATGTTCCTTTTGCATGACCCATCTCGGCTGATTTTTTATAATATTCAAATGCCCTATGTTCATCCTTTTCAATCCAATTCCTTTTTCATAACAGTTACCAACATTATTTGTTCCTAATACATTACCCATCTCGGCTGATTTTTTATAATATTCGAATGCTTTATGGTTATCTTTTTCAACTCCGATTCCTTTTTTATAACAGTTTCCAACATTATTTGTTCCTTTTGTATTACCCTTCTCTGCTGATTTTTGATAATATTCGAATGCCTTATGCTCATCTTTTCCAACTCCGATTCCTTTTTCATAACAGTTGCCAACATTATTTGCTCCTAACGCATTACCCATCTCTGCTGATTTTTGATAATATTCGAATGCCTTATATTCATCTTTTTCAACTCCAATTCCTTTTTTATAACAGTTGCCAACATTATTTGCTCCTTTTGTATTACCCTTCTCGGCTGATTTTTGATAATATTCGAATGCCTTATGCTCATCTTTTTCAACTCCGATTCCTTTTTCATAACAGTTACCAACATTATTTGCTCCTAACGCATTACCCATCTCTGCTGATTTTTGATAATATTCGAATGCCTTATGTTCATCCTTTTCAACTCCAATTCCTTTTTTATAACAGTTGCCAACATTATTTGTTCCTTTTGTATTA